GGAAATATAGGGCTGATATCCGATCTTTGATGCCGTTGCAGCCTTAAGTGCGTTCAAGGGTTCCTGCCTCTGCCAACACCCCCCCCCCCGCCCCAACCCCCAAAGCAGTCTTCAAAAAGGAGCGCTCAAGTTTAGGGGGTTGAAAGTTTGTTGGGATTTTGGGGGGGCTTGGAACTTGTGTCAATTCATGGCCTTTGTGGCTGCTGAGGGGCCAGGGTGTGTCGTTCACGCTCGACTTGACGTGCCGAGCTCAGCAGTTGCTGGGGTACCGGGCTTCGGGTTGAAGGGTTTAGGGTTTAGGGTTTGGGGTTTGGGGTTTAGGGTTTAGGGTTGGGTTTAGGGCTTAGGGCTTAGGGTTTAGGGTTTAGGGTGAAGGGTTGAAGGGTTGAAGGGTTGAAGGGTAGCAGGGTTAAACCCTAATCCCGAAACCCACAAAATTTGCCAGGGTTTGCAACCAGTTCAGTGCCCCCCTTTCGCTTTTTGGGCATTGCGCTGTCACACGGCCATGGTGTTTATTTTTTAGCGAGACAGTTCAAGCTTAGCGACCACACATTGGCGGAGTGACCCGGCGTATAAAAACGCACACAAAGGAGAGAACCTAAGCGCCCTGAGAACGTCACGAATGACCATAGAACTCAGACTACAGAAAGTGTGAGACACATCTTCGAAGAGTAGATGATGACTATACAAAGAGAGCGGAAGGAGAGGGAGAGAGAGGGAAAGAGGAAGAACACAGGCAAGTAGCCTGCCCAGCAACTGATGTACAGACAACGCCGGGAGGTGGGATGGTGTTTATTGTAGATCTCCTTGTAAGCTCTCGTTTTTCCTCTCGTCGTTTTTTTGTTGGGCGGGGCGAGGGCCTGCTTGATTACAGCACTGCCTAACACTAATCCCTAAACCCTTGTATTCCTAAGCCCTCAGCCCTAAAACAAGTTCGACTCCCAGCATCAGCGCTGGGTAGGGCCTTGGGACATTTCAAATTTTTCGCGTATTGGGTTTAATTAAGAGGATCACATGTCAGGAATGTTTGTCAGAGGTGCTAAACCCTAAACCCTAAACCCTAAACCCTAAACCCTAAGCCCTTTTCAGAGGGTTTTTCAGGGACCAACCTAGGAAGTCGTTCAGGCGGAACTCGCCGCGCGCTGTGAACATCGAGTTCGAGGCGGCACTCCGGTGCCGGGTTCGGGCTTGTCTTGTGTCTTCAAGCCCTCCTGGGGTGGGGTTTAGGGTTTAGGGTTTAGGGTTTAGGGTTTAGGGTTTAGGGTTTAGGGTTTAGGGTTTAGGGTTTAGGGTTTAGGGTTTAGGGTTTAGGGGGTTTAGGGTTTAGGGTTTAGGGTTTAGGGTTTAGGGTTTAGGGTTTAGGGTTTAGGGTTTAGGGTTTAGGGTTTAGGGTTTAGGGTTTAGGGTTTAGGGTTTAGGGTTTAGGGTTTAGGGTTTAGGGTTTAGGGTTTAGTCGTTTCCCGAAGCTCTCAGACCTCACATCCTTAGGCAGCACCTACGTTTCAGGCGCTAGGGTTGGTGCACCTACTCTTGGGGACTTGCAACCGCAACCCCGAAACCCGAAACCAGAAGCCCTAAACCCGAAACCCTAAACCCTAAACCCTAAACCCTAACTTCCCACGAGCTGCATGCCAGAGTCTCAGAGTTCACCGTGCCAAATGTTTCAGAGGATCCTGGGGGCAATGGAGCCCGTGCTGCACACCTAACCCTATTAAGGGGTCAGGGTTTCTAAGCCCCGACATAGGCATTTTCATCCTGAGATACCCTCACCCTAAACCCTATAAACCCCTTGTGAAGCCTGGTCAACCCTTCCAGAAAAAAAAAAAAAAAAAAAAAAAAAAAAAAAAACATTCTGGCACGCCAGGACGAAATCCCACCGCTGGTGTGAACGCGGACGCTTCTGCCACATCTCCAGGCCAAGAAGAAGTTGAGTGCTGATGGTTAGAGGCTGTCAAGGGTTCGAGGGCTTAGGGTTTCAGAGGGTTTCAGAGCTTTGTGTTCGTGTTTTTTTTTTTTTTTTGGGGGGGGGGGGTTGGGATTGCGAAGGGCTTCGATCAGAACTGCGCCGCCCTGAGGGTGCGAATTCTCGTTGCTAGGGCTGCTGTCTAGCCAGATAGGGCTTGCAGACTCAGTTTAGGAAGAAACCCTGTTTGCTTCTAGGTTGCTGGGAAACCTACCTGTCGGATCGGGAGGAAATAGGGCGGCAGGAAGTTTAAGACTTTGATGCCTGTAGGCATGCCATCACGCGCCGCGTAGCGTCCCACATGGTGGTTTCGGAAAGTAGGATGCCTTATGGGGGTCCTTGTTATAAGGGAATCTTATGCCATTTGGGTGTCCATTTAGGGGGTCCCCTATTTTCGCAAACCCCCCCATATTGGGCCAGGTCCCCCATGTCCAGCGATCTCCGAAGAGCACCTTCTCCGACATCGCGGTTGCGCGCGGACCCTGGTGGTGTTCATCTCAATCGCAACCAGACCCTCAGCTCGTCCTACATGCGCAAGTCCTGGGTTTAGGGTTCAGGGTTCAGGGTCTAGGGTTTAGGGTTAAGGTTTAGGGTTCAGGGTTTAGGGCTTGGGGTATAGGGCTTGTGTCACAAGGCCACAGGAACGTGAAGATCACCTTCCGCGCAAGGCGGGTGTGCTTGAAAGGGCCTCCTGATTTGGTGGGGTTCAACCTTGTACATACTGTTCAAGGTTTCGCCGAAAGCCCACTTCCTTTAGAATGACAGACAGAGATGGCAATGAAAAGTCGTTGATGTTTTGGGGTGGCTCCCACCACAAGAAAAGCGATGGAGAGAAAGGTGGGGGTTTAGGGTATTTAACGGCTTAGGACATTGCACTCTCTGAGTGCCACCTGCCCTGCGTTGCGTTTCTTTGGCTACAGTTTTGAGTCGCTTTGGGGCCCTCACCGTCCTCCATAGACAGCGGGGTCTGCTTCAAACTGAGTATTGACCCGGCTGGGCAACCCAACAGCCAGTAAGACAAAGATGATCAAGTTCCGTTCCGTTCCGGCGTTTCGCTACCTCTCCCTTCTGGCTCCTCTTACCCGTTCCGTTCCTGTTTTGGCGCCGGAGTCTCATTTAGCCCCCCACCTTCAGAGATGAAACCCCAACCCTTACTGTTGCGAACGATAGGCAGCCCTTGGCAGTGTTTAGATCCAGGACAGGAGCTTTGCGCTGAAAGAACAGTTCTGATCACACAGGGCCGTACGCATGTGGCACGAGTGCTCCCAGGCAACTCCCTTGGTGCGTCATTCACTCAATTTTCCGAAGAAACGTAGTTCCTTTGCAGTTTTCTTGTTAGTTTTGCTGATTACGCCTGTACTTCGTGTAGCTTTTTGACTCGTGAAGCTGTTCCTTCTTCCTTTCCTATATTCGTGTCTAGTGCACAGTGAACTCAATGGACAGCATGTTTTTGGTGGGAGCGCCCCTTACGCGACGGGCGCGTTCCATTCGTTTTGGCGATTCTGGTTGATTCTCGGGTTGGGTTGGGGTTGGGGGGGGGGGGGGGGTGGTTACGTGCTTTTCGAGAGCACAGGGGTTCATGTTGTAGGTTTCGGGTGCACTCTCTACGTAGTTTTAATATTATTGCGGGCACTATTGTTCTCTTCATTTCGCCCGCATATTATTTTCTTCTTTCTAATGTTCATTTCGTACACTTGTAATATAATTCACGCGTGTACTCATTCACACACCCAGACAGTAGAATAATGGGGGAAAAAGACCACTTCGTTCACGAGTTTACGCACTAATATTAATACGGTTCATTCACAGGTTTGGTTAATAATTCCAGGGTTTTTAGTGCGTCCATTGAACCTCAGCTCCTTCATGTCTTACCGCGTAAACGCATGAATCTTATGTTTCACTACTTTTAATGAGTGTACGAACCTGTAGAAAGTGCGTGAAAACCGCTCTAAAGATAGAAACCCGGGCCATAATTCTATATCTTCATGAAGAACCCCGTATAATTCTCTTATTCACATAGTAAACCTTAGGACGTTCCCCTAATATTATATTCGTTCTCTATTAGTAATATTCCCTAGAGATTGGATATGCAATAATATTATAAGGAATGAAGGGAGCGATGAAAGGGCTTTTAATAAGTCTTTAGGAGCTAGACCAAATCCCCCAAAACACCTCTAAAAACCTTAGAATTATGTGCTCTTTGCCTTCATTTGTAGGGTCATTCATTGGTTTACAAAAAGCCCAAACATTAGGATTACGAAGAGAAAGCCGAATTAAATTATAACGAATGAAATGAGGCATGAATTTAATAAAGGATTTCGTACTAACTCCTTAATAATAGAAAGTCCATAGAATATTGCACTCAGATGTGTTCAGAGCTCTCTCCAAGCTGTGCCAAGCTGCCAACAAGTGCAGCTGAACAAAGTTTCTCAGACGGTCCGCGGCAAAATGTGCTTTTTGCCTAGGCGGGAACGTCATGGTCGCTCGAAAATAGACACTGTTACACACTTTCGGCCCCTGCAACATAGCAATTCTTAAGCAGACATGTGCGTTTTGCCTGGGTTTCAGCACATTCCACATTCTGGCCATGCCAAAAAACACACGTCGCGCTACAGGCGCTCCTACCATGTTTTTTTCTGTCAGAATGTAGATAGGCGGGAGAAAACAGGAGGAAATACGGATCCCAGAAGAAAAATGAATGAAATACAGCTTCTCCTAAGAAAAGCCAAGGAACACTGCCAAAAGATTTAAAGGCACAACAGCCACTCATTTCCGACTTTCAACTCATGAGCGACACTTTTCTACACCTTGCGGGTAACCTGTTCACAGGCATGCTTTGCGGGCGTGGGTTGTGTCGTACGTGCTTGTGCGAGTTCGAGTGCAGTCCGTCTTGCAGGCTGCCAGCTCCCTGTCAAGCGCGAATAGGCTCAAAGCAAAGACGCTTTCAGCTGATCATCAGCGACTCATGCAGCGAAGCGTGCGCATCGCCATTGCGGAGCCTCTCTTGAAGCAGGTTATGCAGGACAGTGCAGACATGTCACGCAAAGATGCTCCTGCTCCTTGTCTCATCAACCAAGTGGTTGATGCCTGGTCTCAGCGTGAGCGTAAGCTGCGTCAAGAAGCATGGGCAGAAAGGACCAAGGCGCTCTTCGTTGGCTTGTGCCTTTTCTTGTCCTTGTTGTAGCTCCTTCCCTCCATCGGTGGTGCCATATTCGTGACATTGGTTTTCTTGCTTTTTGTCCGACTGTACGCGCACCTCATTCATGTGGGTAGCCTGAGCTGGTGGGCAGAACGCAGCCATGGCGTCCAACTTGAGCTTCCCGTTGAGGAGCTCATGCGTGCAGTCTTTGAGCTGGTCAAGCATAGAGGGGAGCTTTTGCGCTGCTGTCCGGCATTACTGGACTCTGTAAAGCTTCGCCTGAGCAGCTGGGGGGATGAGATCCCCGACCATGATTTGCCTGAGTGCGTTGAAGCCTTGGAGCAGATGAGCAAGGAACTGGGGCAAATGCATCAGCGAGACATCGTGAGCTTCTTGGTGCAATGGCAGTCTCTTCGTGACAGGAAGTGTTTTGTATGTCCCGTGTGTCGTACCTGGTGCGGACTCAGCCATTCAGTCCAGTGCTCGAGGCAGCACAGGGTCTGCAAGGATTGCATGCGTGGCTGGGCAAATCAATTTGAGCAGTTACAACCGATGATCTTGAGCCGGACCTTTGCCTTGCCTTGTTTTTGCTTTTCTGGGGCCACCAGGAGATGTCGCGGAAAGTTCCCAGAGGAAGCGCTAAGAAGTCTCGCAAGATGCAACTGCGCAGACCGCAGGACCTGCTCCTGCTCTAAGCTCGAGCAGCTTTGCAGGGATTTCCAGATCAGGAAGCACGTGCAGCAGAATGCTGGATGGTCGCGACGTCTTCGCGGCCAGGTTGTGGAATGTCCGGAGGCAGGTTGCGTCGGACTCGCCTATACCGAGACTGGCAGAGCCATGTGCTTCGTTTGTGAACATCAATGGGAGGTAGAGGAGACAGACGCTTCTTTCCGCAGATGGGCGTGCAGCTGTGCAAGAAGGATGCCAGCTTCTGAGCAGACTGTTCCTTCAGGATGTAAGCGTTGTCCGTCCTGCAAAGTTTTGATAGAGAAGAATGGTGGATGCGATCACATGGCATGCAAATGTGGCCATCACTTCTGGTGGTCGTCACTGAGGCCGTTTCGATGGAGCTGGTAGCTCATTGTCCCTGGCAATGCACGCCGGTCAGGATATGAAGACCCACGTGAGGCGCACGTGGCTTGTACAGGTTCAGGCATCACAGAAAGTGTGTTGTGCCCTTCGACTGGTCCGCCTTCACTTCCGCGAAGAACGGGGACCCTAAACCCTAAACCCTAAACCCTAGAAGACACTGTGGTCGCCATGTGCAGGCTAGGAGCTTGGCCGCGGAGACGCAAGACTTCGCCAGGGGCCAAGTTCGTGTTGGTCCACAAGTGTAGCTTTCGGTCCGATGCCCCTATTTCCCAAGCTCTTGTCTATCACGCTCAGAATCCTGCTACGCCGAGAAATTCAGATATTCGCGAATGCGTAGCATCTGGGGTCCCAGTTTAAAGGTTGGAGTGCCAGGGGTCCACAAGGGGTCCAGTTGGTCACCAACATGGTTGCGTTTGTGTTCGAAGTGCTCGGCAAGCGTTCGCGAGTGTCGCGCACGATCTCTAGTTCCGGAAACCTGCTTTTCAGCGTCGTTTTGGGCTTTGCACAAGCTTCACAAGTGCTGACAATTACGAGGATGAGGTTCCTAGGGCTCGCCAGCCTCGTGTCTGTCGTCAGATTCCTTCAGCCTTCGCGAATCAAAAGTACTGACGGTGACGAGCATGCGGCACGGTGCATCGTCCTCGTATCTGTCATCGCTTTTGGAGCTTCGTCTTGGCTTCGCGCCTCTAGAGGGCTGGCAATGACGAGTATGAAGGGCCCCCTAAACCCTAAACCCTAAACCCTAAACATGGGGTTTGCCATCTTCATCACTGTCGTCAGTTGTGTACATGACATGTGTCTGCATTCGGCCTCGGAAGATGAGCGCCGGCAGCGACCTGAGGTTCTGGGGGGTGCACATGGGGGGTTACGAAAACGGGGGGTACCTTCTTGCTCCAAGTCCCGTACTTGGCACACTACACCCCGAGCCCAAGCAGAACTGCGCAGGATTAGGTTTAGGGTTTAGGGTTTGGGGTTTGGGGTTTAGGGTTTAGGGTTTAGGGGGTTTAGGGCAAGACATGAGGATTCGCCAAGGTCCGACCCCAGGCCAGCTACCAGAACTCCCGAGACCTTCACGGACACGCTCCCGTGTCCCGCACGCCATGCTTTCTGCGGTTGTGGTTCTGTAGGGATAAACCAGGGATGATATCATCAATGCTTCGTGAGTGCCTAGTAAGTGTGGATCGGGCAAAACCCGCCTCACTACAAATAACGCACAAGTAATTTAGGCCTCCGGGGCATGCTACTATATCATCTCTTTGGAGCTTGAGATCCAAACTCTGGGAACAGATTAGACTGTGTATTCTGAGTAGGCATACTGGGACTGTCAGGGGATGCTATGATAATGATGCAGAGATGTTAAGAGGAAGCCCATTGTAAGTGCATGACACTTACCAGGGCTCTGATTGTCTAAATGCTTAGGGATCATACAGTAAGGGCATACTATTGTGATTATATCGTGGCTAACAGGGGGTAGCATTGTCACCATCTAGGGATGATCAGGGGAGGATATTCGAAGTTATCTAGGCTTCTGTCTTGCGCGATGGCCAGGCTTGCAAACGGCATGAGCGGCACGAACGTTCGAGCTGTGAGGGGCCGCCGGGCCGCCGGACCTACACCTGTAGAGTTTGCTCCAAGACTCCGGAAGCTCTCAAGCCTTGGCAACCCGCCATGCAGCCTCATGCACTGCCAACCTTAAGGCTGAGAAACTCAGAGCAAGGTGCGTTTGCTTGAGACAACGACGCCGAAATCAAGCTTTGTGGCTGGGCACCGGGCTTGAGCAGAGTTACTGGCGTGCTTGGGCCACTTCGAACATCATTTGAAGTAGAGTTGCTTCCGGGCACTGGGTTGAGGGATTGACCTCCGGGGGTCGTGCTGAAGAGACTCCGGCGACTCCGGCAACAAAGGATTGCGCGCCTCGATGCATTCCCGGACAAAAATAAAGTCAAGAAGGTTCCCCTATGAACCCTAAACCCTAAACACTCAGATCAAGAGTCAGGAATTCGGGTGTAGGTATTTGGGCACAGGATGCCCAGTAGTATCATTTCCATTAGTTTAAGGGGCTTAGTAGCAAAAGCCTGCACTCTGGGACTTTGGTGCATAGGGCTGGGTGGCGCTTTTCGAAGCCATCACGGGCCAGATGACAACAAACCAGCGATCAGTCTGATCACCAACAACCTCAACCATATCAGCGACATCAAACAACCCAAAAATGTTGCCCAGCGTTTCGTGATCCTACCTCCCCTCCCCCCATCTCCTGTTCAGGGTGCCCAAAAGGGATCATTGAAGCAGGCTGTGGGCTTCGATGGCCGACGATCTTTACACCTCATGGCTCCGGAATTCGAATGAAGTAGTTGGGGGTTCATGGCACTTATTGACCAACTATAACCGTACATATAACCCACTTGTAAGCCCCTTAAGTGTCCTAATATGGTTATAACTACAGTTATAAGTACAGTTCATATGTACCATGAACCTCCAGATAGCTGTACCTGTCTACAAGCAAGCCTGCGTATCCTCGCTTGCCCCACAGGCATAACCTTTGGTGTAGGATACATCCAAGCTTATGTCAACAGGACTCGCTTAATCTCCTAATCTCAGTTGGCGGAAGCATGCATATTGAATCAGCCCAGCCAGCCCGAATCCCAAAGTGCAATCAACTTCGCTGACTCTTGGCACAAAGCTGTATTGGCTTCAATTAGGAACCACCTCATGACCTAACGCTACATCTTGCAAGCACTTCTTATCTTGGTGGCCTGATCAAGGACATCGTTTTGGCAGCTGTTCCTCAACGCGCTTCAGTTCACCTTTATAAGTAGAACATCATGTTTCGGATGTAGTTGCCCAAACCCTAAACCCTAAACCCTAAATCCTAAACCCTAAACCCTAAACCCTAAACCCTAAACCCTAAACCCTAAACCCAGTTCGGTGCTCCTGTTGTACAAAATGCACCTTCCGATGCTTTGGAGCAGCAGCCTCTGCATGGGGAGCGATGGCAGGATTGGGTTTGGATTTCTGGCCATGAATCTTGGATCTTGATGCCTCCCTGAAACCCTAAGCCCTAAACCCTAAACCCTAAACCTTAAACCCTAAACCCTAAACCCAAACTCTGCCCCGCACGTAACGGTGTTTCTCTCCTTTCCTTGCGGTTGGCGTAGGGAGCTCATGCACGGCCTGCACACTAAACCGCCCTAAGTCCTGAACATACCTTACTAGTTCTTAGTAGGTGCTCGGGGGACTGGGCACGTTTCAGCCAACAGAGTGTCCCAGGGATGACTGTGCAGAGTGCATATTTCCATATTCCCAAACTAAGAACTCCAGAAAGATCATCTTGTCACTGCAAGCCCTATAAATTATGGGTAATTCCCTATATAGGGGTACCCCTTTTAAACCCCAAATAGAACAGAATCCCCTTCAAAGGACCCCCAAAAAGGGTACCCCTATTTTCGGAACCCGCCAAATCTTAGTTCAGACAGATTGGGTTTGCAACCATCGCGTCCCAGGCCCTGGCTGGAGCAGTAGGGCCCGGAACCTTTAAAGGATTCTTTTTTTGTTTTTTCCGGTTTAATTCTGTTCCTGAAGGTGTATAAGGATGTATATGAAGCCTTATAAAACCTGAACCCTAAACCCTAAACCCTAAACCCTAAACCCTACATAAACCCTAAACCCGAACCCTATTCCTAAACCGTTTATGCTACGCCATAAACCTCGTGACTGAACCTGAGGCCTTGGGCTGCTCCTGCAGGCTGCCCCGTGCTGTAGGGTTTTCGGTTTTTTTGGGGTTTAAGGTTTAGGGTTTAGGGTTTAGGGTTTAATTAGGGTTTAGGGTTTATGAGGTTCAGGGCTTGGGGGTTTGTACTTCATCCGCGCTGGGGAGGCTCATTCGACAGCCCCACTTCAGGGTGACCGCAGACGTTGGCTGCGTAACCTCTCCCGCTAGAACGTGCAGCTACCTTGCGGCTACTCGTTGGGGTTTGGGGCTCAGGACGCGCGAAACCCTAAGCTTCAAACCTACATTTTTCAACTTGTTCACTGCAGCCTTGCATCGTTTCAGCATGCCGGGCTACTAGGCCACTCATGTCGGGTGTCACTTTGGAACGCCCGAAGGAACTCCAAGCAGGCATCAGTTACAGAGT